CTACAAATCCCAAATGTCAAGGGGTCTATTTCCTCCAAACTCCATCTGTGTTCATATTTAGACATATGGAATTTTTGTGTAAGTTTGGTCCAGATCCATCATTGTTTGAGTCCACAGTGCTCTCTGGATGTAGGTGAACTACAACTCCCAAACTCAAGGTCAATGCCCACCAAACCCTTCCAGTGTTCTGTTGGTCATGGAAGTCCTGTATGCCATGTTTGGTTCAATTCCATCATTGGTGGAGTTCAAACCCTTCCAGTGTGTTCTGTTGGTCAGGGGAGTTTTGTGTGCCAAGTTTGGTTCAATTCCATCATTGATGGAGTTCAGAATGCTCTTTGATTGTAGGTGAACTATAAATCCCAGCAACTACAACTCCCAAATGACAAAATCATAATTTTTGAGTGATGGTCACTCCTTGTGTTGTGAGACGTTTTCTTGCCAAATTTGTTGTGATTTCGTTCATTGGTTCTTTTGTTTTTAAGGTACTCATGCACAGAGCATTTTTATATATAAAGATTATGATTATATTTATTGTTTTATTATTATATTTATATTATTATAATCACATGTTATATTGTTAACATTTATATTTACGATATTTTATATGTTCATCATTATGAAATGTTACATTTATTGTCTCGTGTAAGAAATATTTATGATATTGTTATATTATTATATTCATTATATTTGTTATTATCTTTTATATAAAGATTTATTATGTTTACTGTTATATATACTGTTATAAGTTTACTGTTATAATGAGGCCAACCACATGCATCCTGGACCCCTGCCCATCCTGGCTTCTAAAGGAGGCCAGAGGGGGATTGGCCGAGTGGGTAAAGGTGGTGGTTAACGCCTCCCTTCGGGAAGGCAAGATTCCAGCGAGCTTAAAACAAGCTATAATAAAACCGCTGTTGAAAAAACCATCACTGGACCCCACTAAATTTGACAACTTTCGGCCAGTTTCCAATCTCCCCTTTTTGGGCAAAGTCCTGGAACGCGTGGTGGCCTCACAACTCCAGGTATTCTTGGAGAGACACGGATTATCTGGATTCGGCACAGTCTGGTTTCAGACCGGGACATGGAACTGAGACGGTCTTGGTCGCCTTAGTGGATGATCTGCGCCGGGAGCTAGACAGGGGGAGTGTGTCCCTGTTGGTGCTCCTGGACCTCTCAGCGGCCTTCGATACCGTCGACCACGGTATCCTTCTGGGACGCCTCGCGGGAATGGGGCTTGGGGGCACTGTTTTACAGTGGCTCCGGTCATTCCTGGAGGGCCGATCCCAGAAGGTGTTATTGGGAGACACCTGTTCAACCCCACAACCTTTGTCTTGTGGGGTTCCTCAGGGCTCAATATTGTTGTTTAACATCTACATGAAGCCGCTGGGGGAGATCATCCAGAGTTTCGGGGTACGGTGCCATCTGTACGCAGATGATGTCCAACTCTGTCACTCCTTTCCACCTGCTACTAAGGAGGCTGTCGAGGTCCTGAACCGGTGCCTGGCCGCTGTAACGGTCTGGATGAGGGCGAACAAATTGAAATTGAATCCAGACAAGACAGAGGTACTCCTGGTCAGTCGCAAGGCCGAACAGGGTATAGGGTTACAGCCTGTGCTGGATGGGGTCGCACTCCCCTTGAAGGCGCAGGTTCGCAGCTTGGGTGTGATCCTGGATTCGTCGCTGAGCCTGGAGCCCCAGGTCTCGGCGGTGACCAGGGGAGCATTCGCACAGCTAAGGCTTGTGCGCCAGCTGCGCCCGTACCTCGGGAAGTCTGACTTGGCCACGGTAGTCCACGCTCTGGTTACATCCCGTTTAGACTACTGCAACGCTCTCTACGTGGGGCTGCCTTTGAAGACAGCCCGGAAACTTCAATTGGTCCAACGTGCGGCAGCCATGATACTAACAGGAGCGGGACGAAGGGAGCATACAACCCCCTTGCTGTACCAGCTCCACTGGCTGCCGATTTGCTACCAGGCTCAATTCAAGGTGCTGGCGTTGGCCTATAAAGCCTTAAACGGTTCCGGCCCAAGATACCTATCCGACTGCATCTCGGCCTACGAGCCCACCAGGACTTTGAGATCTTCCGGGGAGGCCCTGCTCTCGATCCCGCCTGCTTCACAAGCACGGCTGGCGGGGACGAGAGATAGGGCCTTCTCGGTGGTGGCTCCTCGGCTGTGGAACACCCTTCCCGTGGACATTAGACTGGCTCCTTCCTTGATGATATTCCGCAGGAAGCTAAAGACTTGGCTGTTCAAGAAGGCGTTCGAACAAGAAGTGCAATGATTGGTAATGACTATAGGAATGGAACAATAGGAAATGATACTGGATTGTGATTTGGACGATGCGACGACGCTGAAGGGTTTCGTAGTAATGACGATGTTGATGTATATTGATGGATTGCGAATTGTTTTTTATACTGTGCCTTGTAATTGTTTTTTCCTATGTTGTACACCGCTGTGAGTCGCCCCCGGGCTGAGAACAGCGGTATAGAAGCAAAGTAAATAAATAAATAATCTTATAATTATAATATTTTTAACATAGTTATAATTATATTTATTCTATTCTTCTATTTTATTATTATATTTATGTTCTTATATTATTATATTATATTGATTATTTTTAATATTTATATTTATTTATATTCTTATTATTATCATGATTAGGGCTCCAACTCCCATCTCTCCCTTTCCTCCCTATCAATCCTGCCAACTCTCGCGCAATGCATGCCGGTCTTCGTAGTCTGTTAATCTCTAACCTTTGTAAAGGGGCCGCCGTGACGTCACCGCAGAGGCCCCGCCCGCCACCGCGCTTGGCGTTGCCCCGGCAACCCCGGCCCGGGGAGTGTAGACTAAAAGGGGGCGTGGTCAGCGCAGGCCCACACAGAGAACGCTGCGCGCGCAGCTCGCCTTCCTTTTGCAGCTGCAGCAAAGAGCAAGCCAGCAAAAAGCTTTCTTTCTGCACCGGTTTCTCCATTTATTTCGGGATTTTTTTGCCGGCGCATTTGCTTGGAAAGGCCTTGGCGAAGCTTTAAGGCTTTCAATCCGTTTGGAAGGACTATTTTTTCCTATTGCAATAGATCTCTATATTATTCTTTTGCAGGGATTTATGATTCAAAGAAGACGAAGCAACCCGGCCATCTATCTCCAGCTGGTTTTATTCTATTTTATTTGCATTGAGGCAAATCACATCTTTCCCCTGGAAGAGCCCTTTTGGATCTTGCAAATATTTTGAATTTTATTATTATTATTTGCAACTATTTTATTTGCAAAAAAAACCCCTGAGCTTGGAATATTTTGAATTTTATTATTATTTGCAACTATTTTATTTGCAAAAAAAACCCCCTGAGCTTGGAATATTGTGAATTTTATTATTATTATTTGCAACTATTTTTTTTGCAAAAAAAACCCCTGAGCTTGGAATATTTTGAATTTTATTATTATTATTTGTAACTATTTTTATTTGCAAAAAAACCCTGAGCTTGGAATATTTTGAATTTTATTATTTGCAACAGACACTCGAACCTTTGGATCTTGCAAATTTTGATTTATTTTAATTTGAAATTATTTTTTGTTTTAATTGAACTAAAGAAGCAAACCTGAGCCTGGAAATCTCTTATTTTATATATTCTACTATTTTAATTTATTTGAACCCTTTAAGTTATTGTATTGTATTGTTTTATATTTTACTTGCAGATTGTTTATTTTATTTTAAACTTATTCCTTAATAATCCAGCCATTGGAATGATTCTTACGAATTGAGTTATACTATTTAATTTTTTTATTATTATTATTAATATTATTATTATTATTATTTGAACCCCTATTAATCACATCTAACCCTGGAAGAGTCATTGGAGCCTTTAGATTTTGCAAACTTCCATTTTTTAAAATAATATTTTTTGCAAACGAAGCAAATGTTAGAGCTATTATTATTATTATTAGAATAAAGTTACAAAATACCCCTAAAATATTTTTAATTTATTATTATTATTATTTGCAAAGGTTGAAAATTCCTAAAATATTTTTAAATGTGTATTTTCCTTTTTTTACAAAGGTAGGAAAAAACCCTAAAAGTATTTTTTAAAACTTTATTACTATTATTGTTATGCATTTTTAAAATGTTTAAATTATTATTATTATTCTTTTGGAAAGGTTACCCTTTAAAATATTTGTTTTAGTCTTTTAAATTATATTATTTTGCAATTTTTTTGCATTATTTATTGTTTTGCAAAGCAACGATTGCAAAAAAAACCTTGAAATACTTATTATTATTTCAAAATCCCCTTAAAATATTTGTTTTAATCTTTACATTATTATTTTGCCTTTTTTTGCATTCTTCTTATTTATTATTCTTTTGCAAAACTTACAAAATACCCTTTAAAATATTTGTTTTAGTCTTTTAAATTAAATTATTATTATTATTTTGCAGTTTTTTTGCATTATTTATTGTTTTGCAAAGCAACGATTGCAAAAAAAAACCCCTTGAAATACTTATTATTATTTCAAAATCCCCTTAAAATATTTGTTTTAATCTTTACATTATTATTTTGCCTTTTTTGCATTCTTTTTATTTATTATTCTTTTGCAAAGCTTGCAAAATACCCCTAAAATATTTGGTTTAGTCTTTTAAATTAAATTATTATTATTTTGCAGTTTTTTTGCATTATTTATTGTTTTGCAAAGCAACGATTGCAAAAAAAACCTTGAAATACTTATTATTATTTCAAAATCCCCTTAAAATATTTGTTTTAATATTTACATTATTATTTTGCCTTTTTTGCATTCTTTTTATTTATTATTCTTTTGCAAAGCTTGCAAAATACCCCTAAAATATTTGTTTTAAATTATTATTTTGCCATTTTTGCATTGTTACTATTTATTGTGTTGCAAAGGATGCAAAATACCTTTTTAATTTTTTAAATTATTATTTTGCAAAATATTTTCATTTTTTTAATTGTTAGTGTTTTGCAAGTTTTGCATTTTTTGTCATTTATTGTGTTGCAAGGAAAAGCAAAGGTTGCAAAATATTCCTTTTTAAGTTACTATTTTACTCTTTTTTATTATTTTGCAAAATTTTGCATTGTTATTTACTTTTGTTTTTGCAAAGAAAAGCAAAGGTTGCAAAACATCCCTTGAGATATTACTATTATTATTGCTATTGCTGCAAAGGAAGCAGAGGTTGCAAAAATCAAATAGAATTAAATAATATTAAAATAATCTCATTATCCTGGACACAAAGGGCTCTACTTCCGGGTTCACTCCATGTCTCCTTCCGGGAAGAAGATGAGACCATTTGGCCTTTTAGGCTGGACTTCCTTCCATTGACCTTTTTGCAAGAAATTAATCCTGATTATTTGTTTTAAATATTTTTGTGCAATTAATTATTTATTTTAATTATTATTTCCATTTTTATTTATTTTTATTGATTCTCCCTTTGCATTGATGGATTGACCTTTAGAATCTTCCTTCAATTTTAAATATTACTATTTTTGGGGGATTTATTTTTTTGGCAATACATTTATTTGCAAATGACTCGAAGGATAAAAAGGATTTAAAGAGAAAGCAAAGGAAGGAGAAGATCCATTGGATTGCATGGTAAAAATTATATTTTGTTTTAAATATCAAATACGTATCAATTGGGGTGATTTGCATGGAAGAGAAGGCTGCTTTCTTTCTTTTTCATGTTTATTATTATAATTAAATTCATTATTATATATTTAATCTATTTATTATATTATGTTTATTATAATATTTATGGTTATTTAGTATGATTATATTATATATTTATAATTCTCTCATAATTATTTTATTATTATATATTTATTTTTATTTTATTACATTTATTGTTGCTAATTTAGTATCATATCTATTATCTTTATAATTCTCAAATTTATTATTATAGTTCTGTTACTGTTATTAGCATTCAAATTTTATATTCTCTTATATTCTTAAAATTATGTTGATTATTATTTTAATTATATTTTACTTTTAAATTTATTATATTTATTATTATCAATTTATTATATTTATTATTATCAATTTATTATATTATTATCAATTTATTATATTATTGTTTTATTATATTTATTATTATCAATTTATTATGTTATTATATTATGTTATATTTATTGTTATAAATATAGTATTATATTTATTACATTATATTTATAATTCTCAAATTTATTCTATTTATTATTATAGTTCTGTTATGGTTATTGTTAGTGGTACAATTATTATATTGACTTTATTTCTATTTATTATTCTATTTATTGTTATAGTTCTGTTATGGTTGTTATTATTAGTGGTATAATTATTATACTGAATTTTTATTTCCATTATATTTTACTATTAACTTTATTATATTATTATATATTATATTTATTATATTTATTAATATAATATGTCTATTATTATGTTATATTGACGTGGTTCTCCAATCAATCGGAGACTATGGGATATTGCTTTTTGTGAGCTGCACTCTTGTTCATATTAGTGGTATAATTATTATATTGACTTTTTATTTCCATTATATTTTATTATTAACTTTATTATATTATTATATAATATATTTATTAATATTTAGTATTATTATATTTATTATATATTTATAATTAAATTTTTTTGGTCGTGTCAGGAGTGACTTGAGAAACTGCAAGTCGCTTCTGGTATGAGAGAATTGGCCGTCTGCAAGGACGTTGCCCAGGGGACGCCCGGATGATTTGTTTTATCATCCTTGTGGGAGGCTTCTCTCATGTCCCCGCATGAGGAGCTGGAGCTGATAGAGGGAGCTCATCCGCCTCTCCCCGGATTCGAACCTGTGACCTGTCGGTCTTCAGTCCTGTAATTTATTCATTACTATCATTACTATTATATTTATAATTTATTATGCTATATTGACGCGGTTCTCATCAATCGGAGACTATGGGATATTGCTTTTTGTGAGCTGCACTCTTGTTCATATTAGTGGTATAATTATTATATTGACTTTTTATTTCCATTATATTTTACTACTAACTTTATTATATTATTATATATTATATTTATTAATATAATATGTCTATTATTATGTTATATTGACGTGGTTCTCCAATCAGTCGGAGACTATGGGATATTGCTTTTTGTGAGCTGCACTCTTGTTCATATCAGTGGTATAATTGTTATATTGACTTTTTATTTTCATTATATTTTACTATTAACTTTATTATATTATAGTCTATTATTATGTTATATTGACGTGGTTCTCCAATCAATCAGAGACTTTGGGATATTGCTTTTTGTGAGCTGCACTCTGGTTCATATGTATCTTGCTCCCCAAGTGTCCTGTCCATACATTATGTTCATCCTTTCCACGCATCAAACTATCTAAATAATAATAATAATAATAATAAACTTTATTTCTACCCCGCCACCATCTCCCCGATGGGGACTCGGAGCGGCTTACATGGGGCCAAGCCCGGACAACATAATACAGCAATAAAATCAAAGCATATACAAGAGACAACAACATTATCAAAATGACATTAAAATAATAATAATAATAATAATAATAATAATATAAACATTCCAATAGACACAATCACAATAAAGATGACAATGGGCGGGCCACATATTCCGAATAGAAAAACAATTAACAAACTATGATGAGATAAAATAGGAGCAGGACGTTTAAATGGAACTCATAAAACACACAGAGTTGTGGGGCAGAACATCCTATTTGGAGGGCACGAACTCCATTAGCCGAAAATGTTGAGTGGGTGTAAAATATGCTGTGCATCAAAGGCGTAGCGGAAAAGCCAGGTTTTGAGGTCTTTTTTAAATGTTTCCAGTGAAGGGGCTTTACCGATCTCCCCAGGTAAAGAGTTCCAAAGTCGGGGGGCCACAGAAGAGAAGGCTCTCTCCCTTGTGCCCACAAGACGAGCTTGTGAGATTGGTAGAGGCGAAAGGAGGACCTCCCCCGGGGAACGAAGGGCCCGGGTTGGTACGTGGAGCGAGATACGGACACGAAGGTAGGCGGGTCCCAAACCGTTTAGGGCTTTGTAGGTGATAACCTGCACCTTGAATTGGGACCAGAAGATAAACGGCAGCCAGTGGAGCTCCTTAAACAGGAGGGTTGACCACTCCCTGTAGGTTGCCCCAGACAACATTCTGTCCCCGATGTTGTTTAACATCTACATGAAGCCGCTGGGAGAGATCATCCAGAGTTTCGGACTAAGATGTTATCTCTACGCAGATGATGTCCAAATCTGTCACTCCTTCTCACCTGTCACCAAGGAGGCTGTCCAGACCTTGAACCGGTGCTTGGCCGCTGTGTCGGACTAACAAATTGAAATTGAATCCAGACAAGACAGAGGTTCTACTGATCAGTCGTAAGGCCGAACAGGGCTTAGGGTTACAGCCTGTGTTAGATGGGGTTGCACTCCCCCTGAAGACGCAGGTTCGCAGCTTGGGAGTGATCC